TCCATATTTTGGGAGAGCTAACTTCAAAACTTAATGTTGCAACATCTGTGCCCATACACCTGGGAGCCATAGAAGATGTGTCCTGAAGATTATCTACCTTTCCTAATCTTAAAAAATGCCACAAAATGAGAGAAAAAAGGTGATACATTTTCCAGGTTTGGCTTTTTTTTTTTTTTTTTTTTTTCTTTAAAGGAACCACTTTCTGCCTGTTTAAAAAGATTCTTACAATAGGGCCGGCGCTGTGGCTCACTTGGTTAATCCTCCGCCTGAGGCACCGGCATCCCATATGGGCACCGGGTTCTGGTCCTGGTTGCTCCTCTTCCATCCAGCTCTCTGCTGTGGCCCAGGAGGGCAGCGGAGGATGGCCCAAGTGCTTGGGCCCTGCACCCGCATGGGAGACCAGGGTAAGTACCTGGCTCCTGGCTATGGATAGGTGCAGCATGCCAGCCACAGCATGCTGGCCGTAGCGGCCACTTGGGGGGTGAACCAACGGAAGGAAGACCTTTCTCTCTGTCTCTCTCTCTCTCACTGTCTAACTCTGTCAAATAAAAATAAAGATTCTTACAATATAGGACAAATAATATATCTATAGTTACAAAGAATATCTCTACAAATGTAATAGAATACTCATTTGGCTTTGTTTACATATAATTCCTATTACATATGTGTAGCTTTTTGTTAGGACATTATTTTGTAAATGTACTCCAAACCTGGAGCTATAGTCTCAAAATTTGTCCAAACAAGACTCTTTAATAACCACATTAAGCAAAGTAGAGGGTAAAAATATCCTGGAACTTTGAAATTCTTTTTTTTTTTCTACTTTTGTTCTGTGGATGTATGAAGAGCATAGTGGTATCTTTTTTTAAAAACAGAAATTATGGTTTTATCATAATTTCTCAAACAGAAGATTGAGATCTTGTCAATAATAAAAGGAATATATGCATGGAGAGAAGTGCCTCCTACCCTATCTTCCACTGATTGTTCTTGTTATATAGAATAAAATACAAGTTCATGAAATTTTGCATGATGTAATAATGAAGTAGGCAGGCATATAGGTTAAAATGGATTGGGTTTGTGAGCTGGAAGACCACGCCTTCACCACGCCCCTGTGTGACCTCACGCCCTACCTGATACCTTAGCCACGCCCCTATGTGACCCCACCCCTTACCTGGCCACACCTGGGTGCCCATCAGCCAATCAGGTTAATTGACCACTCCCCTTTGGAAGTGGGTTAAAAGCCTGGGACACATTGTGTCTGGCCCTTCTCTCTTCCCAGGCCTCTTGCCGGAGGGGACTTGCTGTAGCCCTGCGCCTCCCGAGGGCCACGCACCCTAGGATTCCTGGCCTAGATGCTCCTCCATGTGGCTGGTTTCTGGTACTCGGCATGAACCCAGTTTACCTCTGTTTCTTAAATAAAGCTCTCACTCTCCTATGCATCTTTCTCACTAAATAAAGGCTTAAAATGTACCATGCTGCCTCCTTTATCTGTGTCGGTATTTAGAATTCTTCTCTAAATATTAGGCAAGAACCCTCCTGGGCTTATTAATATTGGGGATTTATTAATAAGCATATGGTGAAATCATATGCCACCCCAAATTCCACTAGCATATGTGGCACCCCAGATAGCACTACTGGGGAACTCTAAAGGGCCACAATTTTGTATAAATTTTAGGGGGTCATCTCCAATTTCAATTCCATTTTCCTGTGAACTCTTTGAAGCCCCCCATACACGGTAAGATAGGGTTTAGAGCCATATGAAAACTGTTAGCATGAGATGATGTTGCCATTCAAATGTGCAGAACCATTTGTTGTTGAAGGATAATACAAGATATGTGAAGTTTTTGTGGATTTCATATTGGATATTGGGGAACTCACATGTGGAATCTCTTGACTTTGTCATCAATTTATTAAGTTAAGATAGTTGCTGAATGCTTATGGACTGTTTTCTATGCGCCAAGTATTACTATAATGCTTTATATGTGTTATTCACCAAAACCGTAAGTGGCAAGTGGTTCCATTACCACCATCTTACAGATGAGAAATTTGAAGCAGAGAGACCACACAACTTGCCTAAGGTCACCCAACTTCACACGGTGGAGAAGAGCTACTGCAGAGCCCCACTAATCTGCACAACCCTCTCTTGCTTTGGGTACTTTTCCTACATGAAACAGAATAGCTTTTCTTTTTTTTTTTTTTTAAAGAAAAGTAGGATTTATTCAAGTTGGAAACCTCCTACTGAAGCAGCAAAGAGGAGTGTTCTAAGGGAGGAAGACCCAGAGGGCTGGTGGTAGTGGGCTTTTTAAGCACAATCTTGGGGAAGAAACTGTCAGTCAATATAAGGTGGGACAAACCCATCAAAAGACCTGATTTATATTTTAATTATTTTACCCTGTCTGTCTTGCTCCTGATAAAACAAAGAGCCATCAGAAGAGTGCCTAATTTACTTTACAATAGACTGGGAGCTCAGAAGGATGGAATCACCACTCTCTTACTCACAATAGCTTTCAAGGTGGGTTGATGCAAAGAACAAGGTGACAAAACTGAGGCATGTAAACTGATTTCAAATTTCAACAATGGAAATATTCAAGGCAGGGCCAAGATAAGCATAATCAAACTTTAAAGTAAAATGTGGCTAATGTAAGCCCACTGGCATTGTCCTTTCACAGTGAAACAAGACTAGTGTCTGCTAATACTAACTGATAGAATCAAAAAGGGAGAGAACGATCCAACACAGGAAGTGGGATACACAGCAGACTCATAGAATGGCAGATGTCCTAAACAGCACTCTGGCCTCAGAATCAGCCCTTAAGGCATTCAGATCTGGCTGAAGAGCCCAAGAGAGTATTTTAGACATGGAAAGCCAAGACACTCTGGCAAAAACAAAACAAAACAAAAAACAAACCAAACCAAAACCAAACCTAAATGAAGGATCTCTGTGAATGAGATCCCAGTAGAAAGAATGGGCCGTCAAAGAAGGAGGTACCTTTTTCTGAAGGGAGGAGTGAATTTCCACTTTGACTATGACCTTGTCTAAATAAGATCGGAGTTGGCGAACTCAAGAGGCTTCCATAGCCTTGGCAACTCATGACTAGAGCCTAGGGAGATTACTGATGCCATAAGCAAGAGTGTAAATTTCTTAAGTCAACAACAGGAGTCACTGTGCACTTATTCCTCATGTAGGATCTCGGCCCTTAATGTGTTGTTCAATGTGAATTAATGTTATAACTAGTACTCAAACAGTATTTTACACTTTATGTTCTGTGTGGGTGCAAACTATTGAAATCTTTACTTAATATATACTAAATTGATCTTCTGTATATAAAGATAATTGAAAATGAATCTTGATGTGAATGGAATGGGAGAGGGAGCAGGAGTTGGGAGGTTTGTGGGTGGGAGGGAAGTTATGGGGGGGGAAGCCATTGTAATCCATAAACTGTACTTTGGAAATTTATATTTACTAAATAAAAGTTAAAAAAAATAAATTTAACGTCAGAGTTGCTATAGGCATATAGCAGAATCTGATCTTGCTACTTCCCTATAAGTTGTTCCATCATTTATGGAAGAAGACTAGCATACCTATAAGGAAGAGAGGAAGAGTATTTAACTCCTAAGTAATTAGGAATGGGTTCAACTCTAGGGAAGGTACTGGAGGTGGGACAGCATGTCAATGCATGCTGAACACGTGCTTTTCCTTTATGGGTGAAGTTAAAAAAGAAAACACACCATCTGTTTCATGGTTTTTTTTTTTTACTCATTTGCATTTCTTGAGGCACAATACACAAAGCAAATAATTTCTGTTATGGAGAAATTAAGCAAATAGGTATGACATTATGCATTTTTCATTTTAGGAATACAGTTGAAGGAAGTAGTTCCGTAATTCCATGTATCTGAATCTGAGTAAGCATTGTATCAATTCTTTTTATCATTGTCAGGCATGAAATATTCTAAGTGTACCATTCACTTGACTTACCAGGAACATGGCATCATGCGTCTGAACTAGGATTTGCAACTGAGAGGGGATTATTAGATGCATAAAGAAGGAAAAATATTGTGCAATAAAAGCCGTGGAAAGTCAAAATCCCTAGCATAGGTTAGCAGTTACATTGTGTCAATGTCCCTGCTGAGAAGAGTTCATAATTTGGAAGCTGTAGTTGCTATTGACCTGATTTTACAGTTGAGATGATGTCTGCATTTAATTTGGCAGGAAAATTGATCACTGTGTTCTATAAACAAGGCCTATCATGTCATTACCCTGAAACTGCTTTGCAAATACCTATTCATTTAAGAGCAGTCTGATTTATAATATAGTGTAACAGACAAATTATTTCATGAGCTATTTTAAAGAGATTGCTTTATATTGGAAAATTGGATTTGCCAATTTCTTCAATAAACACTAAATGTCTTTGATAATAGCTATTTTATAAAGATTTTTTTTCTTAAAGGTTTCTTTATTCACTTCAATATATTGGCTTCTTGACCCAAATGCTGCTTAATATTTACAAAGTGTTCATTCTCCCTTTAACTTCACAAGTCATTATGGAGTCCACTTATTTTTAAAATACTATTCAATATTATTGTATCCTAATATTAGCAGAAAAAGTTTCCAATTTAGAAGGTTCATATAATGTGCATATTTTATATAAATTGGTCATTTAATCACTACCACATGAAGGAAGACAAAATGAAATCAATACAAAAATATTACCTTACTCGTTTCAAAGCCATTTCAGATTTTCTATGACTTCTACCCCCTCCAGTCTATAATTTTATTTCTTTTCTAGAGCTATAAATTAAGAACTTTAAACTGAACCTAAGCAGGAAAAACATCTTCACGCTATTAGAAATGAAAAGTTACAGTGTCTTTGTTTTTCTGCTTCTAGATTTTACTTTACTTTTGCAATGAGGGTCCACTGTTTGTGGATGATTTTGGTGGTTCAACCCCAAGCAGAGATCCAAAGAATCTCTGCATCCTTGATGGGTTAATTTAAAAGCACTCCTACCTTTTTCACCTTTTTCTTCTTGGTCATCTGTCAGTGGAATCACTTCTGGTTGCTCCACAATTGTGGCATCTTCTTGGTTTGATGAAAGCTCTAAATAGAAGGATACAGAGGATACCGTGGGATGTTTTAGTTGGCACCATTGAGAAAACAGTGACTATAGCACAAATAGTCAAAGTTCCCTTTGACAAAGGAGAACACTATTGTCATCCTCCAGTAATCATTACCTAACACACACACGCACACACACGCACACACACACAAACACGTGTGCCAGCCACACAGTTTATTCAGAAGTCATGGTTTATAGTTTCATCTCATTCTCTGATAACAATATATTCTGGTTTCAATACCTTCTGTTTCCATACACGAGCTCTGGGATTCTGTCTCAATTTTTATTTCATTCTTCGTTGAATCATTCTCTTGCCCTGTTAAGAACAGCAATGGAAAAATAGAAGAAATGTGATATGCCTGACTATAGCTCTATTCTGAGTTTTACAAAAAGCGAAACTTTCAGAAACCATGCTTCAATCATGCATGGAGAGATAGAAGATGGTCCTGAACCAAAGCGAAGGGCAAATAGATGAGTTTTCAAATCTTCAAATTCATATCAATTATTTTGTGAGAAATGTTCAGAAAAAGAATCTTTTCTTTGAACTGATCGGTAGAATTGGTATTTAGATTATCAATGTACTGGATATGAGTGGACACACCCTGGAAGTTTTGAAAATGTAAAATAATTTCGGGGCTGTATGGAATAACTACATTTAATTTCCTTTTACTATATATTTATTTCCCATATTGAGGATTCAAAAAAAATTTAAAGCACTCTTCCATTATACAGCATAAAAATCTCGACTAACATGAGTATACAGGGATTGCATGGCATTATAGCTCAACTGTTCTCTTAAGACACCTATTAGATATAGTCAAGGTCAGGAGAGAATTCAGCCAACTCTTGATTACTCTGAGGCTGATTATCTAGTAATGGCTTTTCTCCCACAACCCCTGGCTTCTCCCCCATCCTCCCCTGTAGAGTTTTGAACATTTAAGTGCTCATTAATAAAGGAAATTGAAATCGGCCCATTTTGCCTTATGCTAATGAAAGACGTTGTGCTTAGGATATTTAACTGTTCAAAGAAAAACTCGAGAGCTAGGGCTAGTTATAATCATGAAGGGGATGCAGAGGATTGGGCTCTTTGCCCGGGTGCATGTGTGCAGGAGATAGTATTGTTACTCCAAACTGTCCCTACTTATTCCTGCAAGAGGGCTATATATTTTCTCTAGCTGGTCCCTGTGGGACAAGTATAGGTTCTCTCCCCATGGACAGTAGGCTTGTCCATGTGACTTGCTTTAGAGAATGGCACTGGGACAGACATTATGCTCATTGCATTTGAGCAGAACCTTTAAGACCCATTGCATGCTTCCTTCAATCCTTTGTTCGTGATAGAGAATGCTACTTCAGCCTAGATCCTGGAATAAAAACAGGTGGAGCAGAACGGAGCAGAGCCGAGCAGAGACTAAGCAAACCTTTGTTATTGAAAGTCAGTGAGACTTTGGAGGTTGACTGTCACTGCAGCCATATTGACTCACATTCCCTCATCTTCAAGCTTTCCCTTTGGCATAGCTGTTCTTAAACCACTCACTGCCCTACTTCTACTTGATCCAGATGGGGAAAAAGAAATATTTTATACCATTCATTTCTCCTGAGCTCAATCTTAATCAAAGAATCTGGTAAAATAATTAAAACTACAGCATATTTATTTATCTGATCATTGAAGGTGGAATCCTCAAGCTGTCTGTGACAATTTTTTTTAGTCTTACAACAAAATGCCAAGTCGTGATGAGTTTGCAAACGGTGTTTCTTTTCTCACGTTCCATTCTCCCGCCCCCTTTCCTCATTCAGGGAAGCATCATCTGTCTCTTGGGTCTTTGTTTTTGTCTCTTGTAGTAGAGTCTGTGAATTGCTAGCAGAAACCTCTTTTCAAACATGGATTTGATGAAGAGCTTTCCCCTGCTTGTAATTCCCATTTATTCAATTCTTTGCCATTGCTACTCAAAGTATGGCCCGTAGACAGGTAAAGTTGGACTGACTTGGGAGCTTTTAAAAATGTGGAATTCCAGGCCTCAGTCCAGACCTGTAGAATCAGAGCCTGAATTTTAACCAGATCTCCATCTGATTTGTATATACATAAAAGCTTGAGCAGCATTGGCCTAGAGGATATAAATGTATCTGCAAATTATTGATCCCATAAAAAATGCCAGACTTTGCCTAGACACTTCATATACATTATCTCTAATCATCCCATTACCCTTGAAAAATAAGTATTATGATCCCCATTCTGCTTTCAAAATTTATAACTAGGTATGCTACAAATCCCTTTTTGCTTTCTCTTTTGCTGGGGAATATTATTATCTTGCCCTTTAACTATTTACATGAAAGTCTACCTTGCATATAGTACAATGTGTGAATCATAAGTGTACAGCTTGATGACTGTTTGCATATGCACACACGTCTTCCTGTGTGATCAATACCCAGATCAAAACAGCTCTAGCACCAGTCTTTCTCTTGTCAGTATCCCCAACATGTGTGACTTTGACATTCATATATATGGAGCATACAGTATATGCTCTTGTATATCTTACTCTATCCCGTCTATGAGATTAATCCCAGTTGCTGAATACATTGCTTGTTCAACCTTTTTCATGGATACTTTGTCACTGTCTGAATACAGTGTGCCATATGAGCATTGAACAGACTTCAGTTTGGGGCTATTATGAGTAATAGTGATAAAAACATTCTTGTACATATCTTTTTGTCTTTTTTTTTAAAGATTTTTTTTGTTTATTTATTTGAGAGGTAGAATTACAGACAAAGAGAGGGAGAGACAGAGAGAAAGGGCTTCTATCCACAGGTTCACTCCTCCAGTGGCTGCAACCGCTGGAGCTGAGCTTATCCAAAGCCAGGGACCAGGAGCTTCCTACAGGTCTTCCATGTGGGTGCAGGGGCCCAGGCACCTGGACCAACTTCTATTTTCCCAGCCCATAGCAGAGAGCGGGATCTGAAGGGGAGATGCTGGCAACACAGGTAGAGGCTTAACCCATTATGCCACAGCACCAGCCCCTCCTGTACATGTCTTCCCGTGGACTTATATACTCATATCACTTGGGTACGAACCCAGAAGTGAAATCACATCCTTATCACTTTTGTGTACTTTACAGAGTGATGACAATTGTCCTACCGTCACTCATTCTACAATGTACTGAGTGTCACTAAATCATGGCTATGTCAGGTGCTGGGAATAGTTCTTAAGTAAGATAAAGAACTGGGGCTGTGGCTGTGGCATAGCTGGTAAAGCCTCCACCTGCAGTGCCAGCATCCCACACGGGCGGCTGTTCAAGACCCAGCTACTCCACTTCTGATCTAGCTCTCTGCTATGGCCTGGGAAAGCAGTAGAAGATGGCCCAAGTCCTTGGGCCCCTGCACCTATGTGGGAGTCCTGGAAGAAGCTCCTGGCTCCTGGCTTCAGATTGTGGCAGCTCCAGCTGTTGCAGCCAATTGGTGAGTGAACCAATGGATGGAAGACCTCTACCTCTCTTTGCCTCTCTTTCTCTGTGTAACTTTGACTTTCAAATAAGGAAATAAATAATAGTTATAGGGATACAGACATTAAATGTGGAGAGACTTCTTTCTTATGAGCTGTGAAACAGAAATGGTCACAAGGAATGGGGTTGATGACATTGACCTTATTTCTGATAAAAGTATAGCTGCATGGTTTGTATCTGAGATCATCTCTAGAGAAATCCTAGATGGACACAAAAATGGCTGGATGGAGAGGATTCTTTTATGAATCACAATGATAGTAGAAGGAATATTTTCAACATGTTTTGGCAAACATCTTACCCAGATAACTCCAAAAAGGAAATTTAAAAATAGAAACAAGCAAATAATACTAAAGGAAATACTTTAAAAGTATACTCATAACACAGGAATATAGGGGCCAGCGTTGTGGCATAATGGGTTAAGCCAACTGCCTACAATGCTGGCATCCCACATGGGCACCAGTTCAAGTCCTGGCTGCTCCACTTCTGATCCAGCTCCCTGATAATGTGCCTGGGAATGCAGTGGAAGATGGCCCAAGTGCTTGGGCCCCTGCATCCACACAGGAGATCTGGATGAAGCTTCTGGCTCCTGGCTTTGACCTGAACCAGGCATGGCCATTGCAGCTATTTGGGGAATGAAACAAAGGACGGGAGATCTCTCTGTCTTCTGCCTCTCTCTCTCTAACTCTACTTTTCAAATTCATTAAATAAAAAAAAATATAGAAAGTTTACAAGGACATATAAGAACATTTGGATAAAAAATGAATTAAGCAGGAAATTGAGATAATATGCGGAAAAAAAGCTACAATGCCAAAACCACAATGATGGTAATAACCACTGCAATGGACTCATAAAGAGAATAAATACTATAAACAAATTAACATTACACATATCAAACTTTTGAATGAAAATACACTAAGAAATCAAAGGTAGTAAGTAAAATGAAATGATGAAATGCAAAATAATGATAGATAATATAGAAGAAAAAACAGCAACAGAATTTCTAATATAAGAAGGTAGAGGTCTAAGCAACAGTATTTGATCTACATGATGCAACCATTAAATAACATTTTATGAAATTAAAAATACTGTAGAAGTTAGCATATAATTTCATTTTATTTAATTATACATTCCAAGCTGGCAATGTGGTATAACGTATAAAGCTATCACCTGCAATGCCCACATCCCATATGGGTGCCTCCCTGGCTGCTCTATTTCCAGTCCAGCTCTCTGCTAATGGCCTGGGAAAAGCTGTGCAAGATGGCCCTGGTGTTAGAGCCCTGACACCCATCTTGGACACTGGGATGAAGCTCCTGGTTCCTGGGTTTGGCATGGCCCAGACCTGGCCATTGCGACCATTTGGGGAGTGAACTAGCAGATGGAAAGTCTTCCCTCTCTCTCTCCCCCTCTGTTATCTCTCTTTCTGTAACTCTGGCTTTCAAATAAATAAACAAATCTTAAAAAAATTACAATCAATGTATATTTATGTTACTGGGGAATATTGATAAATACAAATACTGAAAAATTGTACCTCAGATGGTAACACTGAATATTTTTGAATGGTAGATGAAATTTCAATGTATAGGATTTTATTTTAGTAACAAGTATTTTTGTTTTATAAAAATTGTATATTCCACAATTTAATAATTCCAGTGAAAACATTAAAAATAAATTCCATCAATGATATCATAGAAGAAAAACTTCTAGCTAAAAGGTGTGTGTGTGTGTGTATGAGTGTGTGTATATGCATGTAGTCAAATGCAATTACTTTTTGAGTCCATAACCTATTTGTACTCTAAGTCACTTGAGAAATACAACTTTTAGG